CTTTTTTAAATTCACATAATTTACTGGATGATTATTCATATTTGCTTTGGGATGATGATGATGATGATGATGATGATGATGATGATGATTTTGGTACTGGGGATTGAACCCAGGGGTGCTTAACCACTGAGCCCCCTCCCCAGATCTATTTTATATTTTATTTAGAGACAGGGTCTCACTGAGTGGCTTAGGGCTTCACTTTTCCTGAGGCTGGCCTCCAACTTGTGATCCTCCTGCTTCAGCCTCCTGAGCGGCTGGGACTTCACCTCCAGGTGTCAAGGGGCTTCTTTCTGGCCCTGCGGCCTTAAAGGACATAGAGGCTCCCTGGGACTCCTGGTCTTGGCTCCTGTCTCCCAGATGGGACCAGGGGCCAGAGCCTCAGGCCAAGCTTGTGTCCCTGAAGCCCAGACTGCTTTGGTGGGCAAACCAGGCCCAGGCGAGGGGGGAGGCCAGCCTGGGCACACATTGGCACAGGGACATCAAGGGCGACTCCAAGGGCCTCCTGCCCTGCGGGGTGTCTCTCCAGTGGGGAGAGGCTGGGGAGGGCTGGAGGGCTGCGATGTTTTGCTGGGACCTAGAGACAAGAGAGGGCTCCACTTCCCAGGTTCCTGSAGGTGTGAAAGGTATGCCATCTCGAAATATGTCAAGTTGGCATAGGAATCATTCGCAGATAAATTTGCTTGAGAAACACACACTTCAAAAAAAGGGCATTAGCGCACACCTGTTAATTCCAGCAGCTGGGGAGGCTGAGGCAGGAGGATCACAAGTTGGAGGCCAGCCTCAGCAATGGCAAGGCATTAAGCAGCTCAGTGAGACCCTGTCTCTAAGTAAAATACAAAATAGGGCTGAGGAGGGGGCTCAGGGGTCGAGTGCCCCCGAGTTCAATCCTTGGTACCCAAAAAGAAAAAGCCATTTGTTTTTTGTGTGTTGGAGCACGCCTATAATTTCAGGCAGCTTGGGAGGCTGAGGCAGGAGGATGAAAGTTGGAGGCCAGCCTCAGCCACTTAATGAGGCCCTAAGCGACTCAGCGAGACCCTGTCTCTAAATAAAATAGAGAAAGGGCTGGGGACGGGGCTCAGGGGTCAAGGGCCCCCGAGTTTCCAAGATCCTTCCAAAAATCCCCCCTGAGGACTAATGGGGAGGGACCTCTCTGTCCCCTAGGCTTACACACCCTACCATCCCTTTCTCAGAGTGACGATCAAGGGGACAGCGGACCCCCATTTCCTGGGAAAACGCCTTGGCTCTGGCTGTCTCGGAAACTTTGCAGACCCTTTCCCATCCGGGGACTTGCTTTGACCCTCTGTGACTCCGGAAGGTGGGGGTCACAGTAGAACTTCCAGGGACCCAGAGCAGCAGAAGATGGTTGGGGGACCCAGGACCTCCTCTCTTCCTCCTTCCCCTCCTTTTTATTGATAATAGGAATTGAACCCAGGGGTGCTGAACCCCTGACCCCCATCCCCAGCCCTTTTTAGAGTTTATTTAGAGACAGGGTGTCACTTAGGGCCTGGCTAAGTTTCTGAGGCTGGCCTCCACTTTCAATCCTCCTGCCTCAGCCTCCCCAGGTGCGGGAACCTCTTAACCATTTTTAAAGTGTGGTTTGGTTGGGTGACACTGGGGATGGAACCCAGGGCCTCAGGCCTGCTAGGCTCCATCCCCAGCCCGCACCCCGTCTTAGCCGTTTTTAGGTGCACAGGTCAACAGTGTTTAATTAGAGGCTCGTGTTGGGCCAACAAACTGGGACCTTTTTTGTCTTGTAGAATTGAAACTGTGCACCCATTAAAGAAGTCCGGTTGTCCCTCTCTCAACCCTTCATGCCATTCCACTTTCTCTCCCTGTGAATCTGACTACTCAAGATAGTTCCTGTAAGTGGGATCATGGTTGGCTGTTTGTCACCCGGCTTATGTCAGTCAGCACAATGTCCCCAGAGGCCCACCCACATGGTAGGATGTGTCAGGATTTCCTTTTTTAAGGCTGAATAATATTCCATTGTGTGCATGAACACCAATTTCCTTTTCAACCAGTGGACTCCTGGGTGGATTCTACCTTGGCTACTGTGAATTGTGTTGCTTCACACACACACACGTGTCCAAATAATCCTTTTTTTCCTTCTTTTTTGAGTCCCAGGGATTGAACCAGGGGTTCAATTAACCCCTGAGCCCCATCCTCAGTCCTTTTTATATTTTATTTAGAGACAGAGTCTGATGGAGTTGCTTGGGACCTCACTAAGCGGCTGAGGCTGGCCTCCAACTTGCGATCCTCCTGCCTCAGCCTCCTGAGCCACTGGGATGACAGGTATGAGCTACTGCACCCAGTATAGTCTGTTTTATCATAGTGGCCATCCTCATGGATAAGCGTAGACTTTTTGTGCATGTGTGTGTTTTGTTTTATATTTATTTATTGGACACAATACCTTTATTTTATTTATTTATTCTTATGTAGGACTGAGGATTGAACCCAGGGCCTCACACATGCCAGACAAGAGCTCTAAGGCTGAGCCACAACCTAGCCCATGAGGTAGAATTAATAAAAATTCTATTTAAGAAATGAGAAATTTCACACACACACACACAAAAACGATCTCCACTTTAAAAGTTCTGGGGCCAGACATAGTGGAGGCTGAGGCAGGAGGACTGCAAGTTGGAGGCCAGCCTCAGTAACTTAGCCAGACCCCGTCTCAAAATAAAAAATAAAAAATAAATAAAAAATAAAAAAGTGGCATGGAGACGAGGCTCCTGGGTTTCATCTTCAGAAGAACAAAGAATCTGGGGACACTTCTTGGCCACCCTCGCCCTGCAGGGCCACTCCCTGSACGGTGGCTCCTCCCATCTCTGGAGCAACACAGACACTTTCAGGAGGCGCTTCTGACAAGGTCCTGTCCACTTTGCTGCTTGGACATCGGCAAGAGCTGAGAGTCCCTGTCCCTTTTCTGCTGGCCGGGGCTGGTCCCTCTTGGCCACTTGTGTTGTGGGGCTCCGGACTCGCCTCGTGGCCGGCGGACTACACTTCCCAGAATTCCCCTGTCCACCTCCGGAGGTGGGCGGGGCCTGAGGTGCCTCCTGGGCTGCAGCCTGGGCGCTGGGCCTCCCATCACCTGCCTCCCCAGGGTCCTCCGTGAGGATGGGCCTCTGCTGCTGCTTCAGCAGGCTGCCCTGGTGGCCCAGGTCAGGGGCACAGAGTGGACACAGGGTTCTGCCTGTGTCCCTGGGGCGCCTGCCGGCCCTGGACTGACTCCAAGACCTCCATCCCTCATGGAGACTCAGCCTCGCAGGAGAAGCTGCAGAGGCTCTCAGTCCTCGGACAAATGGAACCCGGTGGCGCTCAACCCCCGAGCCCTGTCCCCAGCCCTTTTTAGCTTTTATGTGGAGACAGGGTCTCGCTGAGTTGCTGAGGTCCTCCTCGCTAAATTTTTGAGGTCGGCCTCCAACTTGCGATCCTCCTGCCTCAGCCTCCCAAGCCACTGGGATGACAGGCGTGTACCATCTTGCAAGCGGACAGTGGCCCCAACAGCATTGCTTATCAAACAGATGGCCTTGTTGTGTCCTGTGACTGGTGGAATTGCCAGAATGGCTCGTGTGCCCTGGGGTCCCTTGTGCCTGGAGACCCGGGCCCCTCCTCCCCTGTCGCCTCAGCCCCTCGCCCAGCCGGCACAGGCCAGGTTGGTCTGGGGAAGTGGACTGGGTAGTGACCCCATCTTCYACGGGAGACTCTGTGGCTTGTGCGGGGCTGTGTGGTGGCTGGGGACCAGTCAGACCCGAGACCCCAYGGAGGCTACCAGGAAGGTCTGAGCTGTGAGGAGCGGGATGCGGGCCCTGCAGGAGTGGCCTTGGGGACAGGGGGATGCCAGAGATGGGAAAGGGGTACCTGGACACTCCCCGACCCCAGGCGGTGAACTGAGACCTTTCTGGTTCACAGATGAGTCATTTAAAGTCGTCCTCGGCTTCCTTTATAGATGAGGAAACTGAGGCGTCAAAAAAAAATTTTTTTTGGGGGGGTACAGTTGAACCCAGGGTGCTGACCCATGGAGCCCTGTCCCCAGCCCTTTTTATTTTCTATTTAGARACAGGGTCTCGCTGAGTAGGGCCTCACCAAGTTGCTGAGGCTGGCCTCTACCTTGTGATCCTCCTGCCTCAGCCTCCTGAGCCACTGAAATGACCGGCCTGCGTCACCATGCCTGGCAGCGATAGGGGTCTTTCTCTAGACTGAACCCCAGCACAGCCAGGCCCAGACCTGAGCCTCGACAGTCAGTCAGAGCCAGCTGAAGGGTCTGGTGAGGAACCCGGGAGACGAGGGGAGGGGTGGGTAGAGAAGGGTTCWAGAAGAATGGTTTTGGTGGCAGAAAAATTTTGAAGGGATGCAAAGTCCAGGAAGTGAGTGCAGGGAGGAAGGTGAGTCCAAGGGGTCCGAGACCAGGGTGCAAGGGACAGAAACCCAATTCAAACCAGTTTCGGCAGAAAGCAGTGAGGCAGGTGTGTCTGAGCTTCAGGCATGGCTGGATCCAGCAACTCCATTGATGTCTTCATTACTGGCTCCAATTTTTCTCCTTTTTCAGGTGATGATCAAAGATGGTCACTTGCTACTCTGGTCCCACATCCCTATTATTTAGTAATGCCAGGTGGGGATTATCACCTGTTTTGCAGTACTTTCAGGAAAAGTCTCTGGACTGGCTATCATGGAACCTACTGAGGTCAAGAACCCAGTTCTGACCCAATCTCTGTGGCTAGGTGAACAACGGACTCCATACACACTGGCCAGATAGGTCCTGCGTCACGTGACCATCGCTGGGCATTCAGGCCTGCAGAGCTCTGTGGCCAGGTACTGGAATGCAAGGTAAGCTAGATCCCCAAAGGAAAATTACAGTGCAACCCTCAGAAGAGTGGGAGACCCACCCCCGAGGGCGGACCCCTGGGTGCTCGAGTGCTCTTGGAGGGTCCAGGCCTTGGGATGGAGAAGACGGCAAGTCAGGGGGGGCCACGTCTTCAGGGAATGGGGAGAGGTGAGCCCAGAGGCAGGGAGCAGACTGGGAAGGGCTGGTGAYACGAACTGCATAGGGCAGATTGAAGGAAGAAATATGGAAGGACAATAAAGTCCTAAGGACAACCTGAGGGGCCCTTTGGAGCTCATGATATGTCTTCAGAGGATAGATGGTGTTTTTAGGTTTCCGGCACTGTGACAAAATACTTGAGAGAATCAGCTTTAAAGAGAGAAAACGTTCATTTTGGCCGGCAGTTTCAGAGGTTTCAGTTCATGGTGTCTTGGCCCCGTGGAAAGGCAGAACATCATGGTGGGGTGACGCTGCTCACCGCATGGCAGTGCGGAAGCAGAGAGGGAGGGAGGAAGAGGCTGGAGCCCAAAGACCCCCTTCAACATACGCCCCCAGTGACCTCTCCTGGCACCACGAGCTGGAGGCCGAGCCTTCGCCACATGAGTCTTGGGGGGACAGTTAAGGTCTCAAACCTGGGCCTTAGGGGGAGGGTCTTCCTCAAACCTGGGCCTTGGGGGGTCCTTCTCAAGCCTGGGCAGGCAGGGGACTCATTCTCAGAGCTTGGCCTGCCTACCTCCTGGACACCCAGCGTAGCTGTCCCTTCCTGTGTCACCCAGGCTCATCCTGGTCCTACCCCCTGGTCCAACCCCATCTCTGAACTTCTGCCAAGAGGGCAGCAGTGGGCTGGAGGGCACAGACGTGGCTCCCCTGCTGGGCAGGACGGGCCTCCGGGCTGGGTGTGCCCACCCCTGGCTGGGGCCAGCCCAGTGCCAGCCCCGGGCCCTGGCTCAGTGTCCAGGGAGACTAGACCCAAGAGACTGAGAAGCCGCAGGGGCTGCTCGCCAGGCTCGGGGCTCGGCCTCCACTTCCAGAGGCTGGTGGTGGCTTCCAGGGCCAGGCCAGGGGGACCAGGAGGCCACCACCCCCCTAGGGCTCCCACCAAAGGCCCCGAGGGCTCCTGGGAGTCAGCTCCACAGGGTAGAAGAGCTCTTCTGCATCCCTCCGGAGAGTGGCCAGGGCGCCCCTACCACCTGGGGCCTCCTGTTCGGGAACCTTCCCCGGTCCCCACCGCCACCCAGAGCTGGCCTCGCCCTCATTTTCCCCATGACCCTTTGGGTCCCCTCTGCCACTCTAGATGGACCATCAGGATGGGAACAGCAAGGACCTTGACAGGCAACTTTCCACCCGCGCCTGCCCCCCGGGGACGCTAGAGGGCCTGAGCTCGAGGGCGTGCGCAGGGGCAGCCTCCGTGGCCCAGGAGGGCTCCAGGCGGATCTCACACAGCCTTGGCAGGGKCCGCTCCTGCTCCCTCCAGGCCCTGCACAGCCACCACCAGGCCCCCGGGGTGTCCCTCCCTCCAACCCTCCTTCCCTGCCCAACCCCGGAAGAAGGCGACGTGGGTGCAAAGGTCAACAATCTTTTATTGTGGCCTCCCAGAGGCCCGCGGGAGGAGGGGAGCGCCGCGCCGCCCGGCGCGCGACTCTCGCGAGACCGGAGGCGGCGAGACCAGAGGGAGCCCAGGCGGGCCGCAGCCGTCGCGAGCCGGCCCACCGCGGCCCCGCCCMTGAGTGCCCGGATGGGGGAGGCGGTCACCATGGCGACGGCCGTTGCCAAGGGCGAGAGCCAATCAGGGCGTCGCCGGGGCCGTTTCAAAAATCTCCAGCGAACAGCGGCCGCCGCGGCGCGTGGGGGGAGGGGAGGGGAAGCCGCGGCCCCGCGAGGGACGGTCTCCCCAGGACGTCGGACGCGCGCGCGCGGGCCGGGGGCGCTCACTTGCGCCCCTTGGGCACCTTGGGGACGCTGGGCTTGGCCGCCTTCTTCACCTTCTTGCTCCCCGCCGCCGCCGCCGCCGCCGCTTTCTTGGCCTTGCTGCCGCCCCCGCCGCTGCCGCCCTTGTCCTTGGCTGCAGCGGCCTTGGCGGGCGCGCGCTTGTCGGCCGCGGGTCGGGGGTCCGCGCGGCGCGGCGCCGAGGCCGGCTTCTTGGCCTTGTGCGCGGCGGGCGCGGGCACGGGCGCGGGGGCGCGCTTCTCGGCGGCCTCCAGCTTCTTGCGGTTGAGCTTGAAGGAGCCGTTGGCGCCCGTGCCCTTGACCTGCAGCAGCGTGTCGTTCTGCACCAGCGCGCGCACCGAGTACTTGAGGTAGGTGCGCCCGTTCTGCTGGTCGAACCACGCCACCTTCCTGGCCTCCGCGTAGATGCGCGCCAGCGACGAGCCCCCGCGCTCGCCCAGCCTGCGGATCGTCTCCACCACCAGCTGGCTGTACTTGCCCGGCTGGTTCTTCTTGCGGCTGCTCTTGCGCTTCGGGGCGGCCGCGGGCCTGCTCGCCGCCCCGCCACCGCCGCCGCCACCGCCACGCGCGCGCGCCGCCCTCTTGGCCCTCTCGGCGCCCGTGGGCGGCAGGGCCTCCTCCAGCTCCACCGACATGGTGGCCAACGGGTTGGTGGCGGGCGGCGCGCGGAAGCCGGGGGGCCGCGCCGGGAAGAGGAAGGCGAGGGGCCGCGGGGGGCTCGGGGCGCGCGGCGGCTCCAGGCGGGAGCGGCCGCGGCCGGGCCTGGGGCCGGGCGGCAGGGCTGGGGACGGGCGGGCCGAGCGCGATCGGGGAGCCGGGGCGAGGGTCCCGGGCAGCTCGGAGGCTCGGGGAGGGTTCGGGGAAGGTTCGGGGAGGGCTCGGGGCAGCTCGGGTTCGACGCGCGCCGCTGCTGCCGCCGCCGCTGTGCCGAGGCCGCCGCGCCGTCCGGGCGTGCGCGCTGCGCTCTGGCGGGGAGCGCGCTGGGCGCCGCTTTTATAGCTCGGCGGCGGACCGCGTTGAGAACAACAACAGCCTGGTCCGGGGCCAGCGCCGACTTGTGCTTCTTGGAGTCCCTTTCCCGGCCGCTGGCTGCCCGCACCGTGTCCCTACCGCGCCACCGCGCGCGCAGCCATGCGCCCCGGACTCGGTCCGAGCTCGAGGCACCGCGCAGAGGCGGCCTGCGCCCCGGATGCGCTCGGCAGAGGGGCCCGGAGAGGTGCACCCCAGGCTGCGGGAGCGCTCGAGAAGGGGGGCGCCCCGTTTGGGAGCGGATAGCGGGGATCCCGGGGGTGGCCCCGCGTCCCGGAGCTCTGCACATGACGCCCAAGAGGGCGCCACGCGCCACCGAGCCCTGGCCGGGCCCGGGCGCCCCCAGATCGGGCCGCAGGACGCGCTTTCGTTTGTCCCAACTAACACAGGGCACGCCCTCCCGCGGCCGGCCCGGGCAGCGCGAGGGGCGCGCCGGCTCCGAGGGGGGTCTCCTCCTGATCCAAAGGGAACGCGCGCCAGGCTCCCTCCAGCGCGCGCCTGGGGTCCTGTGCCTGGGGACCCGGGGGCGGGGATCACCCCAGGACCTTCTGCAGGGACTCTGGCCTCCCTGATTCTCCAAAGTGTCCCATTTGGGGATGCATGAGGAAGGTGACATTGGTTCTCTCCAGAGTCTAATGGGGACTCCAGGGTGGGGTGGGCGAGTGTCAGGCGAGGGGTCCCCAAAGGAGCGTCCCCTAGACATGGGGGGACATGGGGGTGGCCCAGGATTGCTGACCACGCCCCTCCCGCCTCTCGGCTGGGGAAGGAGATTTTGGCGACAACACGTGGCAGGTCCTGCAGCGGGGTCTCTAGGGGGTCCACCCTTCCCGGCCCTCAGATGGGTCCCCTAGGAGGTGGGGACGGGGCTGGCGCAATTCTGGAGGCCCTGAGCTCCGTGGACTCCCAGTATTGGGGTGCCCAGGTGGCACGCGGAACAGTTTTCCTTGAAGCTGGAGAGTTGTCACTTGGGGAGCCCAAGATCATGGGGGACATTGTGGGGGAGGAAGGTGGAGTTGTCTTTCCAGGTAAATGAAATCCGCTCCACCCGGAGCCAAGCACATGGTGGTGGCCTTGACCGTGGCCTTGGCCGTGGCCGGTGGCCAAAGGGCAGACAGCAGTCTCTTGAGACCCCGGCATGCCCAAACCATGGAGGGGACAGGTGGGGACAGTCAGGCTGCTACCATGTTGGGATTCCCAGCGAGAGACACAAGCTAGAGACCACTGAGGGCCCCTCAAAGGCTGTGGGTGGGCATCTTTGAGGTTTTGAGGTACAGTCGTCCCCCCCCCAGGAGATGTCTTCTCCCCCTCCTGAGTGCCCCCCTGTCCCAGGCCCCTGCTCTGTCCCCTAGAGATGAGGACATTGAGGCCTAGTGGGGAAGGTGACATTAAGTGTGGGATTTTTGGGGACCCGGGGACATGCGTCCCCAGCACTATGAATACAGAGGACAGGTGACAGCCCAGAACCCTGGAAACGAAGCCAACCCCCTCACCCAGGAAGAAGGGACAAGGACCACCCGGATTTCCTAACAGAAAGGGAAGTGGTTTCCGAAAAGTCCCCCTGAGCTGAGCCCTTGTGACACCTGCTGGCAGAAGGGGTCTTATGGGGACTTTGCCCTTGAACCTGGATTCAGGTCACCCAGGCCGCGTCCTGGCCCCGGGTGCCTAGAAGTCCCCATACATGAATGAAAGAGAGGCAGAAAAGATGGGGTCCCTCCCGCCCCCCGGGGGACAGCTGTTTTTGGGGAACAGGTGTCATCCAAGACTCAGCAGAGGTGTCCCCTCTGGGGAGGTAAGTGGCAGCCACACCTACAGTGGACCACGGTGCAGAGATATAAGTGGAAGAGTCAGCAGAAAGACGGCCCAGGACAGCAGGGATGGGACCAGGCCACCAGGGATGGGACCAGGCCACCAGGGGCTCGCGCTTGGGTCTCTTGAGAGGTCAAAGGGGAACTAGAGCTGGGGGTCCTAGTGGAACCCAAGTCCTGGGCACCTAGGCTGGTTGTCCCTCAGGCCGAGATGTGTCCAGACACGACAGGGAGAGGAGGTCCCTGCGAAGGTGCTGGGAGGCACATCTGCAGCGGGTCTAGTGGGGACAGCCCAATGAGTGTCATTTGTGACACCACAGGCTGAGGAGGTGACTCCATTGGAGACGATCTGTCACAAAGTCAGGAGGGAGACCAGGGCTCAGAGGGGCCGTGGAAGCTAAGGAGGAGAGAGTTTCAAGAAAGAAGGGTCCCCCCGACCCCAGTCCAGTCCCCAGGCTGGGTGGGCCAGTGGTCAGCGCACACGGCCACCAAGACCATCACCGCCTGAGCCCCCGCGTCCAGACCCTTCATTGGTGCTTTAGGGAACYGGTGGGACACATCCGGGTATTTTCTGTTTTCAGTAGGACACTGTCCCCTGGGGTGCCCTGAACCCCCAGCTCTTCTAACCTCTTGTCAAAAGTTGTTTTTCAGAAATAATGTCCCCTCTACAGGCCACCCAGGGGAGCAGGACCAGTGGCCCAGAGGCGACCGTGACTTCATGACAAGGCCCAGCTCTGTCCCCGGGGATGGCCACAGCGGGCCTCCTTCATCTCCACCAGGAGGGGCCTCTTGGGGACACTCCCTGAGCCACAACGTGGTGACGTCAACCCCCCGCAGCCCCCAAGTATTCGGGGTGTCGTATTCTGGGAGGTGACTCCTTGTCATCTCATCTGCTACAAATAAACTTTGTGGCGTCCASTGGTTCTTGGTGGCCTGTATTCTTGGTCCTTGGTGGCCACCAGGTGGGACACTGTTGGGGGAGACCTTTTGCTGGGGACGGACAAGCGGGACTGTGAGGCTGACCCACCCGGGACAGGGTYGCGGGGCCCAGACTGCTTCTTGGAGGCCGGGGGTGCTGTGGGGCCCGCCTCTGCCATCTTGGGGTGTCACAGCCTGGCATCTGGGGGTCCCCGKGACTCGGCTGTGGAAGCCAAGAGACTTCCCCTCCCAGGACAGCAAGGGCCACCAAACCTGGGGACCAGGCTTCTGGTGTCTGTTGTGGTGGGAAAGTGAGGCCCGGGTTGGAGGCTGTGCCCGGGGAGGCAGGGAGGCCAAGGCTTGGGCTGGGCTCCTGCCAATCCTGGCGTCCCCTCCCGGGTCACTCTGCCAGGTGACCCAAAGTGAGCAGGGCCCCAAGGGGCCAAGGGAAATGGCAGAGCAGGTCCCACCTTGGGGACTCTGGGTGCCCAATTAATTAGGGGGCCCCTGGCTGGGCCCTCGGCCTCCTCTGTCTCTGGCGGAGCTCAAGTGGGGGACATGATCAGCTAATGACCCCTCCCCTGTCCCCTGTCCAGGTACATCCATCCCGAACGTCACCTCTGCTCTCTGCCCAGTGTCCTCGAGCGCAGCTTCCAACACAGAAGTCTGGAACCTCTGTCCCTGGGGGGTCCAGAGAGGTTCCCAAAGAGGGGTCCTCAGCCCAGGGTGACCGGGTCCTTAACACCAAAGGCCTTCTAGAAGGTTCCAAGGCCCAGGCAGGGACGTTTGGGAAATCGAGGGGGACACCTGCTTTTGGGGTTCCGGGCTCTTCTTTTAAAGGAAGCACAGGCCTGTCGCGGGGCTGCGGTGACCGTGACATCCCCTCTCGTGGCTCAGTGGTCCTGCCACAGAGAAAGGCCACTTGTCACAGGGCCCAGGTGACCGCGGACGTCCTGCCAGAGATTCCAGGCCTGTYGCTCAGGGCAGCAGGCCTGAGTTCATGGAAGGGACAGGAAGAGGGGCAGGGGACACTCTAGGGCCCATGTGCCGCTCCTGCACCCCAGTTTTATTGGGGGGGGGTCCCAGAGAACTTTCTAGAAGGTCCCGCCCAGGTCCACCTCTTAACTTTTGACTGACAGCGGGATGACACCAGACTTCCCAGTCCCCACTGAACACGGGAACTCTGGTCCCCTGAGCCCAGGGTCCAGGTGGCCCCCTGTTCCAGGYGCTTTTCTGAGGGGTGGACGTCCTCCTGTTGACTCCGAGGCCCGGTGACAGGGACATGTCACTGTGTGGAGCTGGGATCCAACCCAGGGCCTCAAGCATGCGGGCCAGGCCTCCCTCAGCCCCACGCCCAGCCTGGACCCTGCTTTTTGGAAAGAGAAGATTCTGGAACATCAGCCCTGGGCGGGGGGACCCAGGGTGAGGGCAGGGGACGTCACTTCTGGCTGGACCAACCCGCGGGTCCTCGGTCAGCTTCCTCTCAGGGTCTTGATGTTCTGGTTACCAAGGGCCACTGGGGTCTGTGACCAGGGTTTCGTGATAAAAGGAGGGTCCAGGACACCTCCGGGCTGTGACGGATCTTGAAACAGTCATTTTTGTCTTCAGATCTTGAAACAGTCATTTTTGTCTTAAGGCAATGTCATTTCCTTGTGGCTGGTGTAGGAAGGTTTGGACCTATGGGCCTCCGTATGTATATCCCAGGGGCTTCTTGTCACACTCCCCTCCCTGGTCCTCTCCCTGCCACCTAAATATCAGGGAGAGGTTGTGTCCATTATCTGATCAATAGGGATGTCCTGACCTTAGTAGTATCTCATTTAAATTCAGTTTTTTTGGTTTTTTTTTTTTTATTTTTTTTTTTTTGCTTTTTGGTCCACAGCTGTACCAGCCAGTCCACACCTGTGGCTTCTGTAGTCTGTCCTACATCTGTCCTGCTGCATTCCCYGTCTTCTGCTATGCTTTGAGAACTCCCTTGTCCATGGTTCAAATCTGTGACCATTTCCCTAGTTATGGTTGGTCGTGCCACTTAGACCCTTTCCCAGGCATTGTCACCATCTCCTGTGACCTTAGGATGGGGGTTTCTTAGTTTTCTGTCATCAGATCAGCTGCAGATTTCTGACACCTAAGGACTATTTTTAAACGTTTTTTAGCTGTAGGTGGACACAATGCCTTTATTTTTATGTGGCGCTGAGGATTGAACCCAGGGTGAGCCTCAACCCCAGCCTGGTCTTAATTTTTTTTTTTTTTTTTGGTACCAGGGATTGACCCCAGGGGCACTTCACCACCAAGCCCTGTCCCCAGCCCCTTTTTAGATTTTATTTAGAGACAGGGTCTCGCTGAGTTGCTTAGGGCCTCGCTCAGTGGCTGAGGCTGGCTTTGATCCTCCTGCCTCAGCCTCCCGAGCTGCTGGCTTATAGGTGCAGCTTGAGCCACGTCATTAACGTAGCCCAAACCCCTTCRAGTCTTTCCCACGATGTCAGAATTGATAAATTCCCAGGGGACCCTACTTCCATCAACCCGTGGGTCCCCTGGCAGTCAGAAGCTGGACTCTCCAAGGTTTTTCAATTTCCAATCTGAATTCCTAATATCTGTTTTATTTTTATTTTATTTTTTGGTACCAGGAATTGAACCCAGAGGCACTTAACAAAAGAGGCCAGCCCTTTTTATTTCTTAGTTTGAGACAAGGTCTTGCTGAGCTGCTGAGGCCCTTGCTAAGTGGCTGAGGCTGGCCTCCAACTTGTGGTCCTCCTGCCTCAGCCTCCCGAGCYRCTGGACTGACAGGCGTGCACCACTCCGCCCTGTCCTAGGTGGTCATTTTTCTTGGCACAGTTATATTTATTTAGTTTGTGCCTTATGGTAAGTGTCACGCAGACAGTGGTTGTTTACTTACACAAACAAGGTGTGGAGTCCTTGCACGTCAGCACTGAATTTCAAAATGGAGTAGYTTAGGGCAAAACACTGATTTCCAAACTGAAGTCACTCGTGTGTAGACCCAGCCTGAAAACTGCTTCTCTGTGCATCGTGGAGTAGCTCAGAGCAAGGCCCAGCCGCTCTCTGCAAGGTGACACTGAGAAAAGTCCCAGATCTTTGGGTTCTGGAAAAATCTATCTGCTTTTGCTCAATCTATTCTAAAAATGCATGTGTCTGTGGCCTAGTGGACAGGACAATTTTTTTGAGGGGGGGAACCCAAGGGGTGCTTCACCCCTGAGCCCCGTCCCCAGCCCTGTTTCTATTTTATTTAGAGACAGGGTCTCCCTGAGTGGCTTAGGGCCTCGCTCAGTGGCTGAGGCTGGCCTCCACCTTGCGATCCTCCTGCCTCAGCCTCCTGAGTCGCTGGGTTACAGGTGTGGGCCACTGCACCCAACCAGGACAATTTTCCTGAGTGAATGGGAGACAGAGAAGTGGCTTGGAGAGGCAGAGAGTTGGCTGAACTTGAGCTTCATTCACACTTTTGATATTTTCTTTGTTCTTCCTTCTGGGCCTCCCTACTGATTATCATTATTATTATTTTTTCTTCTGTCCTATGTCACCTGGGCGGAGAGGCCTCAATGGCTGTTCATTAGACTTAGGGCAAGATTTTCACGGGTCCCGGTAGCAGCTGCCCTGCCACGGCTCCCCGCAGGCTGAGCCAGCCTGGTCTTTGGGTCCCCCACGGGTCCCTCAAAGGCTCCCCCAACCCCAGGGCCAGGCTGGGGGCTGAGGGCTGTGGACCTCAGAGTCTCTGCTGTCAGTGAGCATGTGGCCCAGCTCTTTGTCAGCTGCAGCCACCCTGGGGTGGCCCTGCTCCAAAGGCTCCTAGAATCCCCTACTTTTTCTTGAAAGCACTTTTTGGAAAACACACCCAGGACATTAGCATATTAGTATGTATTAGCATATTTAGTCTCAGCCTGTGCTGACAAGCTCCTGMCACCTTAGGTGACCTCGGGACCCCTCAGCCGGGCTCTCCAACTCACTGGCTGCAGGAGTGACCGGAAGGAGGACTGGAAATCAGGAGCCCCTGGCTCCCCATAAGTGTGACAGGACTYGGTCTTGGTCCCCTAGCCCCGCCTCAGGCCCCCTTAGCATGGGCCCTGGTACGTGGTGCCAGAAGGACCCTCTGGCTTTGAAGGTCCGACTTTTCAGTCTCAAGATAAAGGGACATAAGAGTCCCTTAAAGGAACTCKGGCAGTCAGAGTGCGGTGGGCAGGCCCTGGGGACAGTGACAGAGGGGAGGCCCCCACCAGTCTCAGAGGAGAGATCCCAACTKTGGTAGAGGCCCAATGTCTGCTCTTCCCCAAGGTGTTTTAGGACCAGCCTCTGCCCAGGGCTGGCAGGGGAGGGGACAGGTGTGAGAAGGTGGCCTTTAAGATGAAAATGTCATTGTGGAGTCCTAAACAGGAGTTAGGTGGTGGCCCGAGGCCCCAGGAGAGGAAACCAAAGGGACTTCATCCTGTTGGCGCAGAGTCACACACTGCTTGCACGCACCAGCCACTCTCTCCAGGAGGGATGTGACAGACCCTTTGTCATAGTCATTCTGTCCCAGGACCTCCTTAGAAATGTCTAAGGAAAATGTGGCCACCTTCTACTGAAGTCACTCGCRGTGTGAAACCCATTGTCACCGTGCTCCTTCCTGCCTGCTTGGTGGCCCTGCCAGCATGGAGCCCCCCCAGAGTCCCCAGCAACAAAAGGTCCTCATGCATCTCCAGGGGACTGTCCACACTGCCCCCGGGGCCACCTGTCTTACTCCTGTCCCTGGCCGCTCGGGGTGAACCCACATCAAAATTCCCTTTTGGACAGCTGCAGAGTGGCCCATGGTGTGGCCACCTGTGCCCAGGGTCACTCCTCACAGGAGCAGAAATGTCTGCAGGACTCTCACAGGGAATTTCCTCTCTGGTGGCCTGTGACCACCCCCCCCCCAACCGGGTCCTGTCTGCACACCTCTGTCACGCTCACATGCGCGTGYGGGGCCCCAGGGCTTGTGCTGTGTGTCACTCTCTCTGGG